GTACTTTAGCTGACGCACGTACTTTCCCGTGCTGGCTGCCTGTGTGGGCTTTGGCTGTTGGCACGTGGAAACAGCACACTGGCAGATAATTACTTGCTGCCAGGCAACACTGCAGAACTCTTGTATCGCCCCGCTTTGCTGGAGACACCTGCCTTCAACCCTCCTCCCGTCCTCGCTGTTTGCCAGTTCCTTAGTAGCTGGGAAATAGCCTGGCTTTTTCTCCTTGCACATTTTAGGGAATTCGAGCCCCAAAATACACATGCTTGCTGTTTGTTGTGTGTACACCAAGATTAACAAAAGAAGGCAGAAGCTGTAATCATAGGACTTTCAACAAACAAGATCAATCTTTTCTGTATGGCGCTGTGGTGAGCCTACTTAAGGCAAGGTTTGTTGGTTCCTACAGTGTCATGGAACCTCACACTGGCATGGCTGGGACTCCACAGTAAAGGCTTTTATTGACTTAAATATAAAATTAATTCTCCCAATGCAGCAGCTGCTTGTGATATGTTGTTTTAATATTCTGTTTATTTTAGTCTGTACTACGTTTTCAGTTTTCAGAATGTTTTTTACATTTGTGCTCAAAAACATGTTAATGTGTGGCAGAAACCAGTTGTAAAGATTAGGTGGAGGCATGAAAGATGAGAAATAGAAAATGAGGTTGCAATTGTGGAATAGTCAGAGAATTTCTTGTGTTCGTTATGTTGGTCAGCAGCATTGTAGTTTTCAATATAATATTTCAGAGCCATTGAAAGTTGCAGTGCTTACAGTTACGCTTTCCTTTTTAGTTAGCCTGTGCCAAAGCTTGTGGTAGTTCTTTCCTCACTCGCATAGTGAAAAACCTCTACTCAAGCTCAAAAGTACTTTAACCCTGGCCTGGTAGTTACGGGTGAGGTTGCCAGCCTTGGCTGAGGGAAAAATCAGTCATTTATCTTCCTATTAACACAGGCTAATCTAAACTTGAGTGCCTTAAATTGCTTCATCCTACCATGTATCCAGACTGTCACTTCTGAATTATGTTTAAATGCATAAATGCCAAATGTATTTCTTATGTAACCTCTACAGCATTTGAGAAAAGATGCCAAAACCGCCCCGCATTCCTATAACCTGACAGCTTTCTAAAAACTGACAATAGGCTTCTGTGGTCAATTATGAGTGAGAGCTGTTATTTGGGGAAAATACACCCAGTTAGACTTCTGCTCCTATCCCCTTCCCCACTTACTGCTGTATGCGGAGAGGAAATAAAAACAGCAGACAGATTTTACGGGTGTGTGAATTACTTTGGTGTGCTGACTATATTTCTTAATGTCAAAGCTCTTGCTGTCAGGTTCTGTCCACGTTTACTTTCAGCTGTCTGCTTTATATGAACAACTTTCTGTCATTTAAGTATTGTTCTCATGCAACCATTATAGACAATAGCTCCATGCTAGGGAAGACTGCCTTGTGAACAAATTCTTAGAGCAGTCTGGTTTAATGAACCACTAAAAATTTCAGGTTATCTAAGCAGACGGGCTAGTACACAGCAACACAGTAGGTTTGGCAGAATGACTCTGACGTGCCAGGCAGGGCTTAAATCAGGATTAGAGAGTCCTTTGTACTGGTCAGGGACTGGTGGCCATCCCTGCACCAGGGCACTTCCAGGCAAAGTGTAGGAAAGGTGGCAACAGATGGGTAGAGTAAGTGGGAGTTCAGGGGGAGAACGAAGCAATACTAGTCAACATGACAGACAGAGGTATCTCCATGCCAGCAGCCTAATTTGCATGTACCACTGGAACAACAGACAGAGTCCCAGTAGCACCTTCCTGCCTGACTCCTTATCTACTGGTGCAGTTTAGATCTATCAGCTGATGCGATACGCTGCATCACTGTGTTTTCTGGCACCAAGTAAAACACCATGTGAAAATATATTACATCAACATTGTTACCTTTAGCGTTCAAACTTGTAATCACACCAGAAAGTGTTGGTAGTTTGACAAGTTATATTTTCCTGTAAAGTCTATGTTGATTGGCAGTAATTACACTGTCCTCCTTTAATCCTTTATTAACTGAGTCTTATATCAGCTTTTTCATTATTTTGTCTGGAATCAATGTCAGGCTGACAAGACTGACATGTCTCATCCTATTTCAACCTTTTAAAATACTGATATAACACTAGCATATTTTTCAGTCTTCCACATTCCCCTTTTATTTCAAGACTCGTCAAAAAAACTGAGAGTTCATTTGGCAGCTCTTCTAAGGCTCTTGGTAGTGTGGGCTGTAAGCTACCCTCTGGACATTTCTTTCCTTGGTGAACTGCCGTTAAGTGATGGGGTTGTGGTCTCCAAGGAAACATCCATACAGTGAAAGCTAGTTGAAGTGATTGTTTGCTAAAGTGATGATGAAAGTGGTAAATACATTTTGGCTTCTCACTCGATAGGACTGGTCAATTGCATGTGGCAATACAAGTGGAATACCACACCTTGGGGCCATTTCAGTCTTCTAGTTTCTTGGGTTCTCTGCCATGTGCAGGCCAACAGAGTGGGTGGGTGGTTCGTTGTTTTTTTGGTTTTGTTTTTGGTTTGGGGTTTTTTTTTTTTTGGTTCTGTGCTTCCCAGGAGATACCAAAGAGCTGTTCTGTGGGATGAGGTTACACCTTTTGTAATGAGAGTTAGTAGTGCTGCAAAGTTCAGCAGCTTTAACGTGCCTGACTCTGGATCCAAGGAACACACAGCTCAGTACTGTGTTTACCACCTCCTACTGCATTTTTTTGTTTTTCTTTAAGCTGAAAATTATTGCCCACTGTTTTGTTTGGGGTTTTTTGTTTGGTTGGTTTGTTGGTTTTGGGTTGGGGTTTTTTTTGTTTTGTTTTGTTTTTTTTTTAATTTCTCTTTGTCCTAAGTCACACTGTGAGTAGGACACTGCTAAGTAATTTGAGGGCCAAGTCATGGATATTTTTTGGCATCTGGTAGTAGACAGATGTACATTTTAATATCTTTTTAAAAATTAGTAAATACATTTTAAAAAAAGATCCACTTCACCACTAAAGTGCTTATGACCTCTTGTTTGCCTATGTGAACTTTTCCTTTAGGCTTTATAGTAATTGACAGAGACACGCTAATGGTATAGTGGAACAAAGAAGGCTTTAGTTTCAGTTCAGTGGAAGCTTGGAGGAAGAAGAAAATCAGTGTTTGCCAAGGAACTTTGCAGGAGGCTTTAAAAATTGGTACAGGTGCTGGTTTGTTGATGTTCCTTTTACTCAGCAGGAGACCTGCAGATGAGAGTTTACTGGTTTATGATAGAGTTACCTAGCTTTGTGAAATGCTTCTCTCACCTCACTTTGTTTTAACAGTCATCTATTCAGTTATGTGCATCTCAACAAACAAAATATTTTTCCTTGCATGAACACAGATCGTGTTTGTCTGTGCTGGCTTTGCCACCAGGCTTTATCTGTTTAAATGGAATCCAACACAATTGCTCTGAGTTCTCCACCTCATGGGGAGATCCAGACTCAGCATGGCTTAAGGGCTGAGTGACACAACACTCTACATTTACAGTTTTTTAGTGTTTTCATTGCTATTTCAGGGTAATAGATTCAGACCAGAGACTGAATGCTTACATGTATTCAAAGAATGAGCTTGATATTACAGATTTTTCCATAGCCCACGCCTATTTGGAGTATGACCTGCTACAAGAGTAATAATGGTGCAGCTTTGGATATTTCTGCTGGGGTTGACAAACAAAGCTGTCTGTGGCCTCGTTACACTGGGATAGGGCTGAGGCTACAGGTGAAGCTAAGATTCAGTTGATAGCCTGCCTTTAATGGGGATCTAGGACTTCAAAGTGTAATGTTCAGCTGCTGTTTTCCCAAAATTACATAAGCTATCCCATTCTTCAAAGCTTGGCTCCCTGGGAGA